TGTCCACAAAACTCCACACTTCTCCTATATTCTAATACCAACCCTCAATTGCCAAAAGGATTCAGTAAATCAAAGACAAAGCAGGTATCCTTCTGCTCATGGCTGCTTAGCTTTGGTTTACTACATAAAATACACAGGACTTGATGAAGTTTAGTTGCTTTGAATATATGTTTTAAAAGCTGAAACTGGGGACCAAACCAACCTTAGCAACACCACACACACAAAATCACTTATTTCCATTAAAAAGTGCAAATGTTCACCTTTCAAAAATCAGTAATCTTCCTCAGACTGTTGAAGACTGTTTCCTTCTCCCAGTCTATTAGCATATGATGCGCAAAGAACCACTTCTGGATCAGAATAAATTAAATTTTCCACTGTGTTAACAGTCTGAGGAAGAAAGTACAGTGGCACAGTGTTTCTTTCACTTACAAATTACATAATTCATGTTCCTTTGTTGTAATTGTACATACCCATGCTTCAGGTCATTCCCCAACTACTACATCCAGCTGGGCTCAGTGAGAACTTCAGAATGTCTTTCCTATCTTAAAAACTATTCCAGTACACAAATAAGCAAATACTCTCCCCATGTAGAGCCTCATTCGCCAGATGTTTTCATTATAACTCCACTAAACGTAGCTCCATTGAAGCAGAAAAAAAATACTGACTGTAGCAAAACTAAGCAGAATTGCGAGAGTATATAGGACAAGTATCTTTGGACTTACGAACAGGAAATAAGAGAGGATACCTCTGTGTCCTGAAAAGTAGTACAGAATAGCAGCCTACTAGCCTTGCACACACATTTAATTCTAAGATTACTATACTTTCAAGTATGATCAGACATCATAGCAAGGTTTGGGTTGAAAGGAACCTGTAATATTATCTACTTCCAACCCCCCTTGCCATGGGCAGGGACACTGTCCACTAGACCAGATCCAATCTGGCCCTGAACACTTCCAGGGATGGCGCACCCACAGCTTCATTGGGCAACTTGTTCCAGGGTCACAGCCCCTTAGGAGTAAAAAACTTCTTTCTTCTATCTAATCTCAATTTACCCTCTGTCAGTTTAAAGCCATCACCCCTTGTCCTATCACTACATATAATGAAAATCAGTGTATCAATAAAAGATGCATGTTTTTATAGTCCACCTACACAATTATATGACATTATCAGTGGCCTACAGAACCTCTGTATTAATCCAAAGAAGGAAAAACAAACAGGAATTGTAAGACCACTTCAATCCCATAAACACATTTGCAGTTTGGAACTAGTATTTCCTAAAAGATACTTACAGATATTTTAGCTATTATAAAAGTAAAAAAAATGTGCAGCCATAAATGTATCTGTAGATTAAAGCTGTTAACTTTATATAGAACAAAGAAGCACTGATTTAAAGCTTTTAAGTGCTCCCTTTGCACACTTAATTTTAAAATTCAATATGAAAACCAAGTAGAGTACTTACAAAATAACAAACATGCTTCCTAATTCAGTCAGTAACTGGAATTTTCTAACTGCAACTGTTACCACTTTTTATTAAATGTAAAACCCCACACTTTCCTTTCTCTAGGAAGTGGAGATAAAAAATAACATCAACTAAAAAACACTGATGGTATTACTACTGTCTATACCTGTAAAAACAAAAGAGGCTGCCTTGACTGCAAACACTCCTGTCAAGAAAGGCTCTAGTAAGTGCTACCTTTGATTACCATCTTCTAATTGCCAAGTTCTACAAAACAGCTAAATATGAAGAAACTATTTGTCATTTCTTATGAGGGTTAGTCTATAAAGCATGTAACTACACAGTATAGCACCACAATACAGTTCCCAAAAAAGGCTCTAAACCAGCCAATATTTATTGTTAATGAAAAATACAGAATACTAATTCAAGTTATTAAATGCTGCAGTAAACCTAAATTCAGACATATCATTAAAAAAAAATAAAATTAGAGAAAAGTTTATTTAGTCTTTGTGGTTATAAGTGAAACTATTATATCTGTAAAAATAAAAAAAATAGGTATTACAATGCCTAAATATTTCCAATAAAACTTGAACTTTGGTTGCACTGCAGCCTTCCAAGCATGTTACAAGGCACATACCGCGTAACACTCTCATCATCTAAGTGATAATGGCTAAATTTTATTATTTATGAGAAATCAGTAATTGGTTAAATAAAAGTTTATTAAAGATAACTCACCACCATCTCTCTCTCTAACTCTGTGAGTATGCATGCTTTTTGCTTTACTGTGCCCTGTGTTGTCACCATATTTGTTTTCAGGGCTATCAGAGCGCCGCAACATTTTATTTGGTGGTGAAGGGTCCGTGGTGTCTCGCATCTTGTCATGACGATGATCACCACCACTGGGGTGACTCTTGGATGAGTACTTAAGAGCCTGTAACAGATCACAAGAGAACAGGCATTTACATTAGATTAGAAGTTACAAAGCTGATGTTAAAATGTCATTTCTAAATTTTAGATCTTTCCAAAACCCTGTTTAAAGTTACTTAACTTTCATTTTCTATTTAAAAAAAATCAGCATTAGTTTTTTAGCAATTTTAATTACTTCCATTAAAGCAACAAGTTCTGTAATTAGAACTCGAACCATTTTTTCCCCACTATTACATCCTACATAAACACTTGCCATTAAGAAAAAAATCACTTCTCATCTTTTCACTTTTGGACTACAGACTTTCAGAGTACATGGGCCACAGCACTTTTGCAATTTTGGGAGAAGCACAAGTCTCTACTTGCTATCAAGAATACAAATAGAAAGCTGCACTGCATCAGTGAAAATTTTGAGTATGTTCTCCATACTGTAGTCAAGGCCACCCGGTTTAACTACTACCATGAACTTCAGTGACATTTTCTTCAGTCCTAGCAACCCTGTAGCAGATGTAACAGAAAAAAAAAATAATAGAATTCTGGGGGCAGACAACATGTGAAGTGACAATTCATTTTGAAGTATTTACCAAAATTACACATTCTGCCTCACTTTAACTAGCTTGATTTTTGCAGTGTGTGTTTCTGAGAGGCAAGTGTTTACATCTGCACAAACCGTCACAGACAGCTGCCTTGGACTGTCAGATTACACTTCACAGTAGCAGTAATAAAGCAAAATGTAATAAAGCATTCAATTCTGTGCCCTGAGGAAAGCAATATCACAGTATATGGCATTCCTCACATTCACACCCTGAGATCTGCCGGATTTTTTTCTGTAGACACAGCAGAGAAATACAGTAGTCATCTCACAGGAACTGAGGTTATTGTCAGTAACTTAAGGATTAGACGGATTCTGAACATACCTAGCAGCTGGCAACTTACAGAAATTAAGCCTTACTAGCAACCCCAGTTATTCAGGATCTAAAACCATGCCCTGCTCAGGTTACAAGGCACAGCAGCAGTTTTGGGGAGAAAAAAGGACTTGGGGAGGGGGGCGGGGGAAGAACAAGATGCCTTTTGTTTTTGAAAGGAAAACACTCACCTCCCCCTGGATCTCCACTCCACTGCAAGTGACCCCGGCTCGCTCTCCCGCCCCTCGTATCGTACCCTCCCCTACTCCTAGGCCCAAGCTCTACACCGGTCGCACTAGGCCTCTCCTCCTCGCCCCGGCGCCGCAGGCTTCGGAAGGGCGCCGGAGCCCCGTTCCCTCCGCTCGCTGCTGCCTCCGCCCCCCGCCTTTGCTCCCCCCCCGGGCTCGAAACGGCATCGAGGGACGGGACCGAGGTGTCTGTGGCACCGCGGCCTGCAGCGGCGGCCTAAGCCTCCGCTGGAGTAGCTCCCCCCCACTTCTCCTCCCCTGCTCCTCCTCCTGGGCCTAGCGGCCGGCGCTTGAGGTACCTGGTAGGGCTGCGAGTCCCCCCTGCGGTCGTGACAGCTAAAGAGAAAGCGAGAGAAAGAGAGAGACGTTAGCGAACAACCGTTACCGGCCACCGGGAAAGGGGGCCCAAACATGGCGGAGGAGAGGGGGGAGACCCCGCGGGGCCAGGGGCCAGAGAAGGAGGAGGAAGGGATTTACCCATCACTGAGTCTCTGCTGTTTCCTCGCATACATTACCATCAATGCCCGGCCTGTGTGTGTGAGTGTGAGGGGACCAGGAAGGGACGGCCGCGGCCGGGCCACAGGCGCCGAGGGGGGAGGAGGGGGACGCAGCGCTCCGCCTCGCCGCCGACCGGGGGCAGGGAAGGGGGAAGGGAGGGAGGGGGCGGCTCAGGCAGCTCGGCTGGGAGCAGCGCTCACGGGCCCATCTCCTCCGCGCACAGCGAGAGGGGAGACGCCAGCAACTCGGCCCCGCGCGCGCTGAGACACTCCAGGAGCACGGACTCCACCGCCGCCGTCGTCTCCACCACCGGTGCTGCTGCCGCCGCGGCTGCCTCCTCCCCCCGCTGCGCCCGCCGCTACCGCCGCCGCTGCTCCTCCAACTACATCCGGGAAACTCGGGCGACGCCGCGCTCGGTTAACGTCGGCTCTTTTCGGCTCTTTCCGACACGCTCCGTCCCCTCTGTCCCCTTTGCTCTCGGGCGACTCTGCCTTCGGAAAACATCGGCTACCTCCGCCGAGCCCAACGCCCTTCAATCTCTCCGTTCGGCAAACATCGGCTCGTTCCGTAACTCTCCTCCCTCCCTCCCTCCCTCCCTCCTCCTCCTCCTCCCCCCCCCCCCGGGCGGCCCGCCTAGTCGTTCTCTGCCGAACACTACCTGTCTTCGGAAAACATCGGTTATTTCCGTAGGGATGTTTTCACGCTCCCGTCAGGGTGGCGCTCTGTTCGGAAACGCTCGGGTATTTCCGTGACCCCTCACCCCGCGCCTCCGAGGCACTGCCGGTCGGAGCAGCCGTTGGCCGGGCGCGCCGGGCTGATTGGCTGAAGGAGCCCGGGGTCGCGCTGCAGGGCCGTGCGTCGCCGCCCGTCGCTTTCCCGCACGGGCGGGCCAAGAGGGAGGAGGGCTACGCTGGGGCAGCCAGCTCTCTCGGTGGGAGCCAGCAGGGCGGGAACGCCAGGCAGGTGGGGGCGATAGGGGGAATTGCGAGAGAAGCAACGAGGCGGGGGGAGCGGCGCCCGGGTGCGAGATAAGAACGGGAACGTCTTCTCTTACCTACTCCCTCCTCCCTTTCCGCCCAGGCACTTGATGTATAGGCAGGAACCATTTTGTGTACTGCTCGTCTTCTGCAAGGAAGCGCTCAGCGGTGAGGTTATTAAAATGTCCCTAGGGCGGTGGCCGGGCGGATCAGGCCCAGCCGCCAGGCCTCTTCAGCGCTGGCGCCGTCTTCTCCAGATCCGTGGTGGCGGGGCCCCTTCCCGGCCCTTGCGGAAACGTTGGGCTGCCGCAGCCCACTGAGGGAGTGAGACGCCGGCGGTAGAGCGGTTCGGGCGCGGGAGGGAGCGAGGGAATGGTGGGTGAGGGGCGCTGACGGCCGCCTCCGGTGAGCAGGCAGCTCGTGCGCGCCTCGGGGCGCGGGAAACTGCCGTTTCAGCGCTCGTGAGAAGGCACCGGCGGCAGATCGGTGTGGTGCGGGTGGCCCCGCGCTGTTTTGAGGGAAGCGGTGTCTGGCTGTCAGTGTGCGAGGAAGATCCCCTTCATCAGAGGCCATGGGGATGGTGGCGGTGACTGCTGAGGCGTCTTTGGGGAAAGGCGCGTTTAGTTATCTGTGATCAAATCCTTGAAGTCTGAGGTATCATTCTGTTCAGAATGGTATTAAGGTATGACAAAACATTACAGAAGTAGTTGATATTGCCGTTAAGGTATCATAGGAGAGACCAGCTTTCGGTAAAGGTGTAGATGCCCCGTTTGGTTCGGTCCCCTTCCTGGAAAAGAGATATGTGGCATGTTAATCTCCATTCATGGTAACTGTCTTACAGAATTTTTCTTCCTTGTTTTTTGTTGTGTGATTTTTGGTTTGGCTTTTTAGAGTGCAGAAGGCTGTTGCAGAGCGGGGACTTCAGTGAGCAGTGGAAGACTTTTGGGAGGATGACTCAGCAGGGAGCTGTTCTTCAGGGTTACAATAATGAGCTAGTGAAATGCATTGAAGACCTGTGTATGCAAAAAGAAGAACTGAACAAACAAATCCAGCAAGCGGAAGAGGAAAAAAATAAACTCCAGCATGAAATCCAGATCCTGAGTGAACAACTGGAGTGTGTATGTGAAAACCTGGCCCAAAAGGTAGCTTCACGGAATGAGCTTGATGCAATTCTTGCTGAAACTGAAGCTGCTTACATGAAGATTTTGGATAGTTCTAGAACTTTACTCAATGTCCTGAAGAAAGAGGTGGGAAGCTTAAAGCATACACCGGAACTGAAAACCAATGTAACATGAAACAGTCAAAAGTTTGGACTCCACAGTGCTAAAATTCTACTAGGTGAGAAATGTGCTTAGCCACAGAACTTTACATCAACAATATAAGCAGAGAGGGATTTTTCTTCCAGCCTTTCTGTATGTTTTGTTACTGTTTTTAAATGCATTAGAAAATAGATGAAAATAAAGTTGCCCTTTTGCTGTTAAAAAAGACCAATTATTTAAACACTACAAAGCGTTATTGCAAATAGGTAGTTGAGGCAGATGTGATACTGTTGATTTTGATACGTCAGTTTTGAGGCTGTTCTGAAGAAAAAGGAAAAATACCTTTTTTTTTTTAATTGGTCATTTTTGGATGGCTGCCAGTGAATTCCCATTTGATTGAAAACTGGTGGATGCAAGTATATCAGGTACCTTCCTCTAGGGGTTTGGAGTTTGGTCTGATGCATGTATAAAGATAAGTTCTGTGTACAATCATCTCTTAATTACCTGGATTAATGGAAGGGTAAGGTGAGAAAACATGATTAATGCAAGGTTAAGACTGTATATGGTTCCTGCATCTTCTGAAGTTGTGTTCAAAAGCCTTTAGAAAGGAGGCACACTGTAATGAAAGACAGGGTTTGCTGCAAGTGCATGCCTCTGTCATGCAGGGGACAGCAATGCAGGCAGCCACACCATGTAAACTCAAATTAACTAAGCTACTTATGGATAAAGAAAAGGTGACTGTCTTTAAATAGTGTCTGTAAGTCCTGAAGAAAATGCTGGGGTTCAATCAAAATACTAAGAGATAAAACAACGCCAAGAAGATAATCTTTGCTAAGAACAAATAGTAGAACTTACGGAAACCTGATTTTTAATGGCCTTTAGCTGTATACTGATCTGTCAAATGTACTATGATTGTGGAGAATAGTGAATAACCTGGAATGGCGAGAAATAAAAATGAAGTTATATTAGAAATAGTTTGTAGCTGTCAGACACTCTTACAGATGAGGTTAAAATAGAACCTAGTTTAGAGATAAGGGAGGAGCAACAGCATGGCAGAAATTTCAGTATAATCCTGTTTTCTATTTCTAGTTGTTAACTAAACCTCTCTGTGTTTGTATGTGTGTACATACATGCGTATTTTGTCCTGCTCGTTCATGTGTTATAGCAGTAACTTTGTTTTTAAACTGTATCTTGCAGTCAAATCTTCATTCTATACGAAGGAACTAAATTGAAAGAAGCACAGTTAACCTCCTTCCTTGATAACTGTGTCTCTCAGGTGCAAGTACAAGGGGTATGTAGATACGAATAGTTTCAGTAATAGCTTTTCACCAACAGTATGGAGCAAATTTTGTGTTCTTCCAGTTGCACGCTACATCAGGGATTAGTGTGAATGAGCTAATCGGCAATTTACTTGTATGGTATTTCTGCTGGCTTTCCTTGAGTAATGCTGAGGTGATAAATAATCTCAGAGGTTCTGCTCTTGTTGTAGCACTACAGTATTCAGGACTACCTTGTCTATATTGAAATGAAACACAAAAATGTTGATATTTTTTAGTAGCAAAGAAGTGATTTATTGGACTGGATGTTTCTTGACATACTCATCTCTTAGCCTCATAGTAGTAACTAATTTGCATCAAAAAAGGAAGACTCAGGAAAAGGCATTAACTAAAGAGCAAGGATTTTTTTTTTTTGTTTTGTTTTTAAAGAATCACGTATATATAAACTGCTGCTTCTTATTATCTGGAAGGGAACTTGAAATTGTCTATGTGGAAAAAAGATGTAGGAAGCTCATTTAGAAGACTCATTTATACAGAACAGCACAGTTAATGTCTTATTAATCTCAGACAATAATTACAGGTTTGTTTGCCTTAGAATATTTGTAGATTATGGAAAATGCCGCTTCTTGTTGACTTAGGCTGTTAAAAGTAGAGCTTTAAGAGAAGCCTTGTAAGTTTTTAAGGAAATCTACTTTGTGACCATTATTACATCTAAGTGTAGCTGGTACAGTGTTAAAACTGAAGTACTGGAGATAGGCTGTTTTGGGTTTTTTTTTATGTTACGAAACTAAGGGACAAAAATGTAACTGTTAGCTTTACACACACCAGGGCCTTCCAACTTTCAAAGAAAAAGTTGGAAAGCTGTTAGAATTCCATTTAGTGATGCTAATTTGTAAAATTTCTGTTTAAATTGAGGTTCATAAGTGGAGAGCAGAAATATCGTGTATCTGGGGTTGGCCTATTTGTAGAACTCCCAAGTGTGGCAGCCATTGTGCGCTAAGTGCACCTGCAGAGTTGTTACTCAAAAATAGTTCTTATCATTATGTTTTGTATTAACCTGAATGAACTTCCTGTGTCTTTTTATTGAGGTGGTAAACCTTTTTCAGGTAGTCTAAGTCTTGTCATAAATAGCTTTTCTTAAGCAGCTTCAGTTTGTTTAGAATAGAACACATGCAAACTAAATTAGTACACAATATTGTTAGAACAGAAATGATAATTTACAGATTACAGCAGCTCCGTAGGGCTAGCCTGCAAAGGAAAGTTTGCCTGAAATAAGTCGTATGATAAAGTATCATACTTACTCCTGACTTATTTTTTTATATTGATTTTATATGGCATTCTATGTTAGATCAATAAATTTATTTGGGTGCTTGAACTCTAGGAGCCTTAATGACAGAAGTTCAGGTTACCTAACTGTAGTGGCTGATCTAAAGTGCTGTGCTGGGTGTCTTGTAGCTTGTCTGGTATGTGAGGAGACAGTTCTTGAGAAACTCTGACCTGTGCTTGATTGAAAGCTCTAGTGAAATGTATCTAGAGCACTGGATTCAATTTCCTGAATTTGTATAGTGATTCCTTCACCTTGTTTCCAAATAACAACACATAACTGGAGGAGAGATGGTCATTACTAGCTTTTATAGCAATACTTGTTAATATGTATGTACCTAGCATGTACAACTCTGGTGGTCAACAGATTTTTCAAAACATCCAAGTGTTGACCCCTGCCAAATAAACTAAGTTTGTTATGTATGATAGAATTCGGTGATTACCAAAGAAACTGCTTATGGGTGGTATGTTGAAGTAATTTTCTGTATAGAGGTGATTATACAAACCACAAGGTGAAATCCCATGTATAAGCAGTTGCTCACTATCTGTAACTGTCTCTGCAGAGGCAGTTACCCTTCAGTTCCCTTTGGGTACCTCCCGCATGCAGTTTCTGGTAATCACCTTAACAGGAATGGAGGTGAGTGGACTAGGGTGGGATCTAATTTCTGGGGTGGAGACTAAAGAGAAGTATGGATGTGGTGTCCTGGTTTGGGAAGACGAGCATTAGGGGGTGTGAGCTACCAAATAAATGAAATTTTAGAAATAACATGAGGTTCACGTGAAGTCTGGACTTTTACCCCTTCTTTACATTCATTGACAGGTAAGCTATGGAGGCAACCTGCATTTTGCTTCCTCTGTCTGCCTTTTTTTACTTCTTGGCCACACAGACTTGCATGCTCAGATGTGCTGTGGCTGGTTCTAGCCAAAGGATGTGGAATCTGAGCCTCCTGTTTGCTGGGTAAGTATGATGCCAGGTTCACACAGAACGCATTACTAGTGTTTCTTATCCTGGTAGATCTCCTGTGAAAAGTAATTGGTGAATGACCTGGGCCTTACAAAGAATATCAAGTTCTGTCAGTGTATTAGATGCACCCGATGTGAGATTTTTAGGAGGAGCCTTGGAGATTTTAGGCAGAAGGGTAGCAATTTGTTGGTGAATGCAAAAGATGTGTTTCCTTGGACTAGGAAGCCTTCAGACTAGGAAGACCAGACATCTTCAAACACTCGAAGAACTGTCCATTCAGACAGTGAAGCAAGCTATAATCTAAATCCAGATGATTGGGTTTTGGATTGCAATTTCAGAATTGAGTATCAATTCCATGTAGGTCTTGTGGTATCACTGTGTCTCGCTCCAAATGGATTAAGTGGATTAAGCTAAATTGGAACAAGGTACTCTTAATTCTGCAACAAGAACATTCAGAGTATTGTTAGCAGGAGGATCTGCAGTCTACAGTTAATTCATTGTGTAGAGTCTCGCACAGAAGACCAGTATCTATTACTCCTTAGATGATTTTGCTTGTTAAGAGAAATTGGAGTTAGTAGGTGTAGTTCGTGGCAGTTGGTGAAATTATCCTTAACTTGGAGACGCAGCCTGTGGCAGCTGCTAAAATTACCTTTGAGTAGATCCTTTGCTTTTGGGGTTTTATGCAAGAAGTAAATAAAAGAGTTCGTCTAGGGTTTTTCCTCTTCCCCACCCCTTTTCAGTAGTGAACAGAGAAGTATCAATAGATGCTTTCATATTGATTTGTTTTTGATGGATGTATGTGTTTTTAATATAGATATTTATATCTTTTTTATAATATTTTTTTTCTCTGGAGGAAGGACAGATTAGCTTTTGGGTTAGTTAAATTGTTTTGTGTCTGCTGTGTAACAGGGGAGATAGGGGGTGCGTCCGGCACAGTATCTGCTTCTCCAGCAACTGTTCAAAGGCTTTTTTGAACTGGTAATATATTGAGGGTTTTTTTGGTTTTTGCCCTTGGTTTTTGCTTTATAAATATCTTTGATTTCAGTTGCCCCAGAGTGGTCCTTGATTGTTGTCTTCCTCAGTTGGTTTTCAGATAAATTTTCATTCAATATCTAGCTGTGAAAGCTAAATGTGTGCAGGTCACAACTTACTTGCATTTTAGCTGTTAATAAAACATGATGGAGAGGTTCAGACATGCAGAAAACACAGCTGTATATTATATTTGGTCACTCATAGCTTTATCTTACAAGATCTGTGTCAAAGTAGTTCAGTATTGTGTAATTTTACAGTAACATGATGTTAGAAGAAGTGGGGCTAATAAAACTCATAGTCTTTTCAAAAGTAGATTTGCAAGATCTGGTGGGGTAGAACAATCTGAATTTTTATTTTGTCTATTTGTACATGACCTGACTATCAATATGCTGCAGTAACCACTACGGTAAGTCAGTAAGTTTTAGTACAAACTTGGGTATCTTGCTTAGCTGTGCCATTAAAAATAACATAGTAAAAGCTTTGCATTTTGATTGTAGCAAGCGTGTTGCTTGTTACATCATTGAAAGCTTTTAAGTATGCTGAATTTGAACATTGTAAATGGGGAAATGTTACTCTTGGAACAGGGTTCATATGCACTGGTGGAAAATAGGCACGTATAGACAGAGATCATGTTCAGGGAAAGGCTTTTGAGAAAAGTCATACTGCACTCTGGAGGTAGGATTGATCGTGATTGCACTTCCTGTGATGAGAGCTTCAGTTTTGCTTGCACCTTACTTCCAAGGCATATGCAGTTATGTAGGATGACTCCTCTCTTTTCTTACCACCACTTGTGTTTTATAGAATATGTGTACTTGGCTCTGAGGGATTTATAGCAGTGCTGAGTTTTCTCATTTATTACCTCTTTAGAGTCAGACACACAGCTTCCTGCAGTGGCCAGCCTAATTCAAGGTGACAGAAGCATTAGGAAAAGACTATAAAACGAAGTAAGAGCCTGAAGAATTTTTAACACTTAATTATAAACATTTTTAAAAGTAGGATATTGAATATACTGGTCGTGGAGCATTTTAAAGTTAAATCTTCATAGGTGTTATTTTTTTGAGCTTCATATGCGTAGGTTCTCATGCTCCAGTGAGAGCTCTTGAGGTTTTTCCATTTATATGTGGTTTATTGAGAACACTTTCCATCATAGTCCTTGACAGATCTGTAACTTACCTTTTTTTTTTTTTTAGCCACTTCATATAGTTGACTTGGTTGAGCGTAGTAAAAATATATTTTCAAATCTCCCTATTTGTATTCAGAATCATATGAAATTATTATTTGTACTAGTACTTTTGTTGTTACAGGGTTATTAACAGGTCAGTTCAGCTAAGAGACCCATTCTGACTGGGCTTGTCTTTATTCGAGGCAGAATTCTTTTTGTATTCTGAAGCTTTCATTTTTTTTAAAGCCTCTTTTTTCTTGTACAGTAAGAACACTTTGAGTTCAAAATCAGCATGACAGACTCCTGTGATGAGTTTTTTCAGTATAGTTAGTATTCAGGGCTGAATCATACTCTGTCAGGTGTTTGGAAGCAAAAACTAGCAGTAATTCTTCATATGCTTATGCAGTTGTTCATTCAGTAACAGAAATCCTGCTAGAGATTTGTGCTGCTTGCTGTGCAACAGTATTTGCTTGCTTTATTTGCTTCATGAACCCAAGGTCTTTCCTCAACATCTGCTGCTGGCAAAAAGATGATGGGTATCTCATCCCTTGGGGTGTGGGGCAAAAGAGGAGCTGCTGTTCTAGAGACTGCCCATCTGTGGTAAGAGAGGAGCATCTTTGTTAGATGGGCTCATGGTAGTGTTGTGAGATTCAAACCAAGGGTTATAATGGTCATAGTTTACTGTTGCACTGAAGCAAGCTGAAAAGAAGAAAACCCTCTCCATGGTGTCAGTCACAAGGAATGTGATAACCTGACTGGAAACAGGTTATTTTAAAGTACAGGAGCTCGGGTACATCCAGAAGCAGTGTAGCTGCTGCAGTGCTGGGCCCAGCAAGGGTTAATTTGCCTGGCCAAAAAGCAGTCAACCATGTGGACACACTTGTGAAATTTTGTGCACTCAGGAGTCACTGAACTTGCTAGAAAAGTGTAACCTGTTTCTGTTCTTGAAACTCAAGATTCTGGCTTTTAGTGGTATGCAGCATTAGATAAGACTACAAGAAGGATATTTATTTAAAATTCTGTTCCTTTTAGGGCTTTTCTCTGAAGCCTGGCATGTTTTTGCTTTAGGTTCATGTTGTTAACTTCAGAAACGTGTGGCCAAGGGGAAAAATAGGCCCAAGTTCCATTGAAGCCCTTAAGTGGTTTGTATTCACTGTGTAGTACACAAAATTCCTGCTTAGATGCTGTCTAATCCTTTGGTCAGGTTGCAAGTCTTGTGGTGCCCCTTAGTAGTTTAAATGGTTTGCAACAAGTGTTGCTTGTTCAATTTGGAATGTATTTTATTTTTTGTTTGTTTTTTTAATGAGGTATTTCATTGAGGCCTCCCATGGCACTCTGCCATACACAGTCATGTACATCTGAATATATGGGTTTTCTTTGGGAATCTCAGAAAGAAACCTGTACTGCAACAGGTTAACTGAAAGAAGATTTGGGCTTATGCCATTTCTGATTTTATTTTTAAAAGTGTTTTAAAATGCTGAGTGTGTGTGTGTGTATGTATATATATATATAGGATATATAAACAAGTGCTTTCAATCAACAAATCACCATGTATCTTACAGAAAATGTTAGTATCTTCATCTCCCTTGATAAACAGTGACACTTTGTAGTGAACTGCCTCAAATGAGGCACAGATGTAAGAATGGAGGCTTTGCTTTTTCAGTCTCAGCCGAATGCTGTGACTTGGACTGCTTCCCAGGGATTCGTGTCCTATTTGGTGTTTGACATAAACCAACTGGATTATGCCTCCTCGACCTGTGTGTTGGGGGAAGCAATAGATATAAATGACTAGTTGCATACTTTTTTGCTACTACTCGCTTCACATCATACGCAGCATCAGGATAATGTTTAAAAGCGTTACTCAGCTCTCCATGGATACACCTCTCATGACAATGTAATCCTGTTCTGAAGCAGCTACTATCACTTCCCAGACCTGCTCTCTCCAAGCCCTTATACACAGGTGTTTGGGAACTGACTGTAGGAGATGGGTCTGAGTAACAGAAAGAACTTTCAGTATAGCTGCTAATTACCTTTCACAAGCCTAAACTTGTTCAGATAGCTTGTGTTTACAGACCTGCTGTTTGGTCTGTAAAGCATATCAACATTTTCAATATTTCAACAGACTTTTTATTACTTTTATGCTAGTCTATGTAAGACCAACAGGTATTTATACCAACACCTTTTAAGGGTTTTCTAGACATCAAGGCTCCTTGGTGTTTTATTACAGTAGAGGATCTGAACTCTATCTATAATGGCATACAGAAT